CATTAATTCTGAGCTGGTTAAGAAAAAATTGTGAAGTTTAAAAAACAATAAGTCTACTGGGCCAGATAATATTTCCTCAATGGTTTTGAAGGAGGTTAAAGATTGTATATGTGAGCCACTAACTACTATTTTAGTCAGTACTTGAATAGTGGGCAGGTAACAGAGGATTGGAAGTTAGCTAATGTTACTTCTCTTTTCAAGAGAGATGATAAAAATTGTGTCAATAATTATAGACCCATTAGTTTTACATCAGTTGTGGGAAAAGTTTTGGAAAGTCTGATAAAAGATGCTTTGCAGAGTCATTTAACAAAGTTTAGAATTTTATCAGATAGTCAACGGTTTTTACTGTGGGAAAATCTTGCCTTACAAATCTTCTGACATTCTTTGAAAAGGTTACTGCTTATGTAGACGAGGGTAAGGGTGTAGATTTGGTGTATCTGGATTTTCAGAAAGCATTTGACAAGGTGCCACATAAAAGGCTTGTAAAAAAAATTAGATCTGTAGGTGTGGGGGATAAGTTAGCAAATGGATAGAAGAGTGGCTGGATTGAAGAAAGCAGAGGGTTGTTACAAATGGAGTTCAGTCAAACTGGATTAATGTCACAAGTGGGGTATCCCAGGGCTCAATTCTTAGGACCCTTTCTCTTTTTGATTTACATCAATGACATAGATAAAGGAATAGTCAATAAATTGTTTAAATTTGCAGATGATATTAAGGTCTTGGGTGTTGCTATCTGTGAAGAGGATGCTGCTGATTTACAAAATGATTTAGATCATGTACTGAGTTGGGCAAATAAATGGCAGATGGGTTTTAATTATAAAAAATTCAAGACAATGCATGTGGGTTATCATAATTTGAATTATAAGTATAATTTGGATGGGAATGTGTTATGAAGGAAATGGATCTTGGTGTAATAGTGGATCAGTCCCTAAATCCATCCAAGCAGTGCTCTGTTGCTAGTGGTAGGGCAAATAGGATCTTAGACTGTATCTAAAGAAATACTGAATACATGTCTAAAGAGGTTATAATTTCATTGTATAGGTCACTGGTTAGGCCACATTTGGAATGTTGTGTTCAGTCTTGGGCTCCTTACCTTAGGAAGGACATTAAATTGTTGGAAAGGGTTCAGAGAAGGGTTACTAAAATGGTGCTTGGGATGGAGGGGTTGTCATACGACAAGAGGCTGCAATCTCTCAAATTGTTTTCTCTTGAAAAAAGAAGAGATAGGGGGGGATCTGACTGAGGTGTTTAAGATTGTAAAGGGAATTGATAGTGTTGGTGTATCATCTTTTTTATATTTAACAATGATAATAGTAGGACTAGGGGATGCAAATATAAATTTTGGCAAGGTAGGAGTCATCTTCAGCTAAGACAGTTTGATTTTTCTAACAGGGTGGTTGGCCTTTGGAATGGGTTGCCTTTGGATGTTGTGGAGGCAGTAAATTTAAGTGAGTTTAAGAAAAAAGCTTAATAACGGATGGTTTTAAGATTTATTTATTTTAATTTAGTTTAGAGGAAAGAACAGCCAAGATGGACCAATAAGTCCCATGTTTCCCAAAATGTTATGTAGCTAAATAATGTAAGATTAGGTAGTAAAGACTTGTTCAGGGAATGAATCTGAATCATGATGTTATAAGCAGTTTAATAATGTAAGATTAGGTAGTAAAGACTTGTTCAAAGAACGAATCTGAATCATGATGTTATAAGTAGTGTAATAATGTAAGATTAGGTAGTAAAGACTTGTTAAAGGAATGAATCTGAATCGTGATGTTATAAGCAGTTTAATAA